TTTTAAGTTCTGAACGAATGATTGACACGATTGTTGTTAATGTAAATTTAGTCTACGCACTTTTCTTTGCACATAGAAATAAATCAAACTTAAATAAAGGCCTAGCAGTTTGCTTGACTGGTGTTTTCATCGTCACATTAAAATTATTCCGGGAGATAGAAGTTCGTTTCGCTTCCCTTATGTAGTTTTATCGATATGTAGTCGAGGGTTATGTTACCTTAGGGCAGCGGTAAAATTAAATATTGGGGGGTAAAAATGAAACTTTTGCGAGTACAAAGTATATTGAAGTGAAACTTCTTTAGAATCGTTAAATTTTTAGTTATTGTTTTCTTTTCAAAATTATCATGGGGGCTATAATATGAAAGATACTAAAAAGAAGCGATTTCGTTTTTATTTGTTCTTCGCCATGGGGTAATATCAACTTCACAAAAATATTTTGGGGTAATACCTAATTAAAAAAGTTCCCCGAGCGCTGCCTTAGAGTGAATAAAGCTGGTGTCACAAGGATCGGCAGTTTTGGTGCCTGTTTCATAACCTTATATTTGACTAATAATAACAGGACAGAATGCTGTCATAAGGTCTTAACTTGGACTTCTCCCATTTAAATACTTTCACGGTTAACTCATTTTAACCGAATTCAAAAAAGGAGGAGGTCCTCAATTCAACTGCATGTTTTTTTTATGTTTGTTACCTCATAACTTTTGTCTGGGTGAATCAATAATGATGATTCTTTTTTTTATTAGAAAGCTGATGCTTCCCGTGTAGTCCCATTTCAAGTCATAAGTCCAGTTCTGATAATGGTGTCCATGAGAAAACCATATAAGTCTTAAATTTGCATTAAGTACGCGATAACTAGATGAATAACTCAATATCACGCCAAACGATTTCGATGATTATTGTTTTTAGTGTAGGTATGATAATTTGTTTTGGAATATCTTTTTTTTTCTACTTGAAGTCGGTTTTTGTTAAAGCATGTCTATTTACAATTACTAGTGGTCCCGCAGTAGTCGAAATTCGACTATAATTAATTGAAATTATAAGTTTCAACATTATTATGATCCTATTGTTACAGATTTCGCCAAGACTACACTATTGACAAATACTCGTAATATTAAAGATAAACAATACTAACCTATTCTCAATTTGACTACAGACTTTAAGCAATAACAAGAATTTGACACTAAACAAAGAGTATATGTGTGTGTGTCAAATACATAGTAGTGTGTGTAATGTTTTCTTTATTTATTTAATGTATCTTTTATGCACTATTTAAAAAAAATATTAGCATTGTGCACTTCTTCTCTATATTCTCTATAAGTGTGGTAAATTTCATACTCCTCCGTCCGCGCAATTTTCGTAAAAAGGGATACAAAGTTTTTGCTTCGCCTATTAATATATAGATGATCATGATTTTGATTCATTGTTCTACTTGTATCAACGATCTAATCTGGCGTTAAGCGATTGCCGTATAGACATCATAAAATGAAACCTGCCGCGTGAGACACCAGATCGATGTCTATTGTGTTCACAGATTAAGATCGGAACGCATACTCCCTCTCGGTAAAAATAGGCGATATGGTGGATACTAAAGATGTCGATACATCGGAAACTCAAAAAAGGAACTTGTTTTTTTTTTTTTGTTTTAGGTATAAGAAAAGAAATTCAATATTCTTCAGTTCACTGTTCGCATTTAATTGCCCGTAGTCATAACAGTAATTGAAATTGATATTGTGTTCGAATGCTATTGTTATTCGCTATGAAACGTAACGGCATCTTGTTTTGTTTGAATCGTTGTATCGTATTAACTGTTTTGTAATGCGTTTTGCATTCAATTATACATATTTGAAAACGTTTCAATTTGTCGTTACATGTTCTAATTCTTGCTACCGTATCATGTTTCGTATTTATACAAAATTAATTACATCAATCCGTTTTTAATAAACGTAAATTGAATATTGTTTCCACCAAATAGCATTAGTGGAATCTAAGCAATAAAATATAAAAAAAAGGCTCAGGGACGTCGATAACGTCTTAACTGCCAGACCTATAGACACAGCTTACTGAGTTCCTCGTCGGCTCGTCTCAGTGGCGATTCCAATACGATGGTAGATTCTGCGAAGCACTGCTCTTGTTAAGGTCAGCGTTAGCGCATTCTCTCAGGCTTAGCATAATAAACTCACCTACAAGTCATGGCGTAGCTGGAATAGTCCCTTAGCGAAAGTTACAGAAAAAAACTGGAAAAAAAAAGTTTTTTTTCGAGTACAGTATAGATGGTCTACTTCACAGTCCCCCTAATGTTAACACAGTACATAGCAATCACAACGTGAATGCACCTATCCTTATCGAAGTCTCAGTTCATTCATAGTTGGAACGGTTGTCCCACCTTTGATTAACATGGCTTGCGGCAGAAATAGGCTGGAAGTTGACACCAACGCGACATCAAAAGCTATCAAAGCTCTCAAAACGTTTATGTAGTTGATGGGTATGGCTCAAGGTACGGTTTTTAAGCCGGTTCTTCATTCTACCATCGAATGCGTGAAAAAACATTGTTATTCAGCTAGTTTCATGACCAATGGAATTTGTTAACTTAGAATTCGCACATCCAGCATCCAATTGAACAGGATATTAGCGTCGAGGTGGAATCACGAGCATCCTGTCCGACTATCAACTCGTACACATTCACATCCTCTTTGGAAGTTCAATTACGCGACAATTGATGCGGCCTTTTCACACGACAAACCAAAATATTCCTTTGGCCACGAATTGATTGTATATTTGTTTCTGTTTCGACATATCCCTTGTCTATTGTGTGATCTGTATGGGGTATCGATGCGAAATCGCGACGCACCTCTCATACAGGGTTCAAGGTAGGGATTAGGGGTAGAGTTCGCAAAGTAAAATGAGTTAAATCGTATAGCTACGGACGTAGGTCTCAAATTAGGTTGGAGCAATGACTCTGGACGAGGAAGTCTCATACCTGCATACATTTCGATGAACCTGGCAGACGTTTGCCTAAATATTATATAACGCAAGATAAAATTATAATATCGTAGTTTCTCGGTCTATAGGATAAGTCCATTTCGGATTTGAGTAAAGTTTGTTTGGAATTCTATATGAATTTAATGAAACTTTTGATTGTGTACCGCCATACAGGTATATTAGTTCCAAGTAACTTGTGAAGATATCATAATTTAATCAAATATCTCACTTGATGTCGTGTTAAGAATTTTCAATTCACAGCGTTATTTTTGATAAAATCTTTCACAAAAGCTCAATTTAAATTATGTTGTTACCACGTCGATTGATGTTGGATGCATTTTTAGCGAATGTGCGTGCTTATGATGCGCACGCAATTCTAATATACCACGTAAACCGGTAATTTAAAACTAATTGAGTCTGTTTGTTAAGTGTTGGAAACAAAAGAATTGTGTTACAATATGCCCGAATCGTACTGGAATCCACTTTTTTTTTCCTACCTAAGCTGATGGTCTAGCTAGAAAGACCATATCAGCGTGTCACCTGACGTTGTTGCTAACACAAACCCTAGCGAGAGCCGTGCTTCGCAGAATGTACCACCGGATCGGAAACGCGACCCACTGAGAAGATCCTGCGAGAAACTCCGTGAGCTGTGTCTGTGGGTTAATTTACTCGCCGAGCCCTTCGTCGCAAGCGACGGGTTCGACAAGCAAAGGCTCCCGGCGGTAATCGTTCACGACTAACGAACACTACGCATCTTTTTTCCTCTACTTAATCGTTGGTAGCCTAAGGGGCTATTGCAACTTCGCGCAGACCAGTAGGTGAGCTCACGGGCTCTAACTGAAAGTGAGAAACTTAGTGAGTTGCTACATCGTTATTACAGTACATAACTAAGATTTTCAGGATAAAATGAAAACATAGGGAGACGGCTGGGACTTCATGGGTCGCGAACGCTATCCCGCTATTCACAGTCGATCGTTATTGTGTTATGCATTAATAATAATAATAATGAAAAATAGCAGTTGGGCACTGGACGGAGGCCAAGTGAGACGCGGGGAGTGTGTACACTAAGTGCAGTGTGTTTTTCTACGGGTTGCATTTGCCCCAGTTTCGTGTTTGTTCCTCGCAGTAGACTGACGTCCGAACGCCCCAGTGTTTCCTAAATCTCAGTGCTTCTAAAACTTCTATAAACAGGACAGGGCATTAAAATTTTGACTCACAAATACAGAAGCTCACGACCTTTTTTCCGCTCTCCGTTCTAGATTCAAAAATATTATCAGATGTTTCAGATAGTACTGTCGTGAAGTAAATAAAAAACCACACAATTTATTTTGCGACATTTAATAGATGTTTTAAAATTTTGTTTTAATATTAATTAATAATTTAAGTGAACACCGTGTGGTCTCATAGCGACCATATTGAAAATTTTGAAATAAATGTTTGCTCGAATTATTTGCTGTGCAGGTTTGTCTGCCTCCTGATTGAGAAATTCTAAATGAGCAAGACGATGTTTTATCATTGAACATTAGGAATGGAAAGAACGAAATATTACATTAAAACGTTGACTCCTACAAATATATCGAACAGATCGCACCGTTGTTCATCCGTAAGTTCATTATGTCTAGATAACGAGATCGTTGATGTTTGAATATAACGGTAATTGTAAAGATGTTAACCTGCTATATCACCTCTGTAATTGGTCGTTAACGAAAACATTATGCTNTATCATTGAACATTAGGAATGGAAAGAACGAAATATTACATTAAAACGTTGACTCCTACAAATATATCGAACAGATCGCACCGTTGTTCATCCGTAAGTTCATTATGTCTAGATAACGAGATCGTTGATGTTTGAATATAACGGTAATTGTAAAGATGTTAACCTGCTATATCACCTCTGTAATTGGTCGTTAACGAAAACATTATGCTTCAAATTTATTAAATCCTGCATTGTTTAATTAGGAAAGAGCGTAGGTGCATGTTGGAGCGCTGTCAAATTATGTGTATAATTATTGTTTCAGGAACACATCGATCTTTAGTATGTTCTCGAACAATAATCTGTCGAGGACGCGACGTTTCAGTAGCGGCAGTTTCAGTCCTATGTCGCATACGCCTCAGGTCACTCACAATATTGCTGTAAGTTGCACAATTTTAAGCCGAGCACAATTTTTAGTAAACATTTATTTTGGTTATATTATCGTAGATGTCTAATTCGTACTTTCATGGTGTCAGAGCCCATAGATGTCAAAACTGCTGCCCACTTTAGATAGGCTAGCAAGGTAAAGCCCAGTGTTAGACGAACAGCGATTCTAATATTCAAATCGACACCATTAGGGCTCATGACATCCTCCAAATACAAAGTTTGGTTCGTTTGACCTAAATAATAAAGAAGTACATTTTTTGTGAGATGATCGTCTGGATCCAAAAATGTTTAAAACCTTGTAAAGTTCGTAGAGAATCTCATTGGTAATTGACGAAAAATAAAAAGCTTAGCGTAGCTTAGTAGCAGTAATCGGCAAATGGTGAACCTATCTAATTGGTGTCGCAGTCTTGTAGTAGTACACGCGGCTATGGCTTCTAGAAACGTATGGAAGACTCTCGTTGAGACCGAAAGCCTAATATAAAAAATGTGTGCGTGTACTAGTGTACACACGTAAGAAGTGAAACTTGTTTATGGCCTTATTTTTCGAAAAATGATCTACATGCAACTTTCTAGAAATTGGTTAAATAAAGTTAAATTAGATAAAGTTTAAACAAAAGGATTTTATTATCATAGACATGAATACAAAAAAGTTAAATTAGATAAAGTTTAAACAAAAGGATTTTATTATCATAGACATGAATACAAAAAAGTTAAATTAGATAAAGTTTAAACAAAAGGATTTTATTATCATAGACATGAATACAAAAAAGATGGCGCGTAACGGAAAAATGTGACGCGTAACCGAAAAATGTGACGGTAAATTTTTTTCCAACGCCGATAAGGAAGTTTCACTTCAAAAACGTTGAAAGAACGACTATGAATCCGCAATTTGACACATTTATCAACGCGAATACTGGGTCAGCGGTTAATTGAATCGATCTCGTGCCAGGATTGACTGTATCGGCCACGTGATAACGAGATCAGATCGTGTGTCGACACATTGCCAACTGGCAATAGTGATCCCTCGTGAACATTACTATGCGGCTGCACAGTTTGAGAATAAGCGCCTTTTGGTTCAAAGACACCTGCGTGACGATATAGTGTACATACTTTTAAACTTATAACTATATTTTATGGTTACTAGTCGTAGTGTATTGTAAGGTCGCTCGGGTAGGTTCCCTCACCGTTTCGCTGCTAAGCCACCCAAGGCTTAGCTGTACTTGTAAGAGTTTGACCTCTTTGTATCAACCAGCTTCGGCACGCGGCCTTATGTAGACCAGACTTTAGAAATTTATAAATAACCTAGCTGACCCGGCAAACGTTGTTTTGCCATATATAAAATTTCTAGGAAATTTCTAGTGTAGAAAAAAAAAACTAACTCATTGTCAGTGTGTAAGGATGTGGTAAATGAGTGAAAGAGGCATGTAGCGCTGTGAACGATGAGGGAATATAAAAATAACAAAACCTCATTCAACCACATATTGCCTCATTATAACAAAAAAAAATTGTCCAAAAAATAAAAAATAAATGTTAGGGGTGGACAACCCTTATCATTTAGGGGTATGAAAAATAGATAGTATCTGATTCTCAGACCTACTGAACATGCATATAAAAACTTTATTAAAATCGGTCAAACCGTTTCTGAGGAGTATGTTAACTAACATTGTGACACGAGAATTTTTTATATAAGATGTACACAAGTGTTAATTTTGTTCTCGGGATCAAATCGATTTACTTCGATCGAGGGTCGTGAAGATAACTCGCATTGGATCCAACAATTTATAAACCAATATTAGCAATTCGAATTCCAGGCCCAAAACGCGTGGGGCCCTCGGTTGGGTCGCGTGAACCAACTGCGGGCGGAGGAGTGCGCTGACGTCAGCAACACGCGTGAGGTCGCGCACGAGCGGGAGGTCCACACCGCCATGCAGATGGGCCAATCCTGTGAAGACCTCACGCTGGCCGGCCTAGCCAACTCCCCTACTAGGATACCTAGGTACTTTTATTGTTGACTTATAACTTTACGTACGATGGGGTGAAATGTTGCGAGTATCGCTAATGTCAAGAAAATCTTAGTTTCCTTAACACTGCTCCCGCGTTTGTAAATGTAAGTCAGTAGTACTGTGATGGAATCCCAGGATTGCCAAATGTACCAGGTTCCGTCATCTTCGGAAATGCAATCGCAATTGTGCCATTCCTTTTTTTTATTGCTAGGATGGGTGAACGAATTCTCGAACCACCTGGTGTTAAGTGGTCACCGGAGCTCATAGACATCTATAACGTAAATGCGCCACCCACCTTGAGATATAAGTTCTAAGGTCTCAGTATAGTTACAACGGCTGCCCCACCCTTCAAACCGAAACGGATTACTGCTTCACGGCAGAAATAGGCGGGGTGGTGGTACCTACCCGTATGGTAGGTGGGTGGCGGCATTTACGTTGTAGATGTCTATGGACTCCAGTAACCACTTAACACCAAGTGGGCTGTGAGCTCGTCCACACATTTAAGCAATAAAAAAATGCTACGGAACAATTGCGACTGCATTCCCGCGTAATGCGTATGTGTTTTAAATCGTTCATCTTTGAAGGGTTCCTTTATTTAAGGAATTGTGAAATCGTTCTAGGTTCTCAACAGCGGTGTCGCCATCGTCGACGCGCAAGTACACGACTCGACGGAGCCTGTCCCCGATCGCGATCAGAGCGTCGAACTTCAGTCCGGTGAGTCGGCCCACTGTGCTCATAGGGAAGCGGCGCTGCGACGACGCCGACTCGCCGCACTCGAAGCGGATGTGCACCGCGGACAGACTCACCCCCTCCACCCCGGGCACCCCGGACTCGGACTCGCTCGAGTGCACCTTCAGGCCGGTCTCGCCGCGAGTCCAGCCGATGATCGAGGCCCAGGACCCGCCGGAGAACCACAAGCGATCGAACCCCAGCTAATATTTCGTGATGCAGTTTGGGAATTTCGATCTGTNCGACTCGCCGCACTCGAAGCGGATGTGCACCGCGGACAGACTCACCCCCTCCACCCCGGGCACCCCGGACTCGGACTCGCTCGAGTGCACCTTCAGGCCGGTCTCGCCGCGAGTCCAGCCGATGATCGAGGCCCAGGACCCGCCGGAGAACCACAAGCGATCGAACCCCAGCTAATATTTCGTGATGCAGTTTGGGAATTTCGATCTGTTGATAATCGAGACGGCCGCGTTCTTGTGGGCGCTTTGTCTTAGTTTGTGTGTTTAATAAAAAAATGTAAATTTAATAATTAATGCGTGTAAATTATTTTTAATGTTTTTGCATTTATAATGGATTGCCATAGTAGTGCGGGATACGATCAGTGAAAAGTAACAATTGTGAGTCACAAATCGAAATTCCCAAACCGAGCTAAAGCCACGAGGACGTTCTACAATAAAACGTATGTTAGGTTTTTAAGTTTGTTCCAAACAATATACGAATATGTAATTTGTAAGTTCCCGAGCGGGATCCCGATTCGGTTTCTGAGTAAAAGCTGAAGCATCTCTCTCTCTCTCTCTCTCTCTCTCTCTCTCTCTCTCTCTCTCTCTCTCTCGTTCTCCCGGATGTTTTTGTCGTCTCATTTGTTATCGGGTCGCATACATAATTAATAATGTCATAAGAATAATTCCAATTTTCATATTCAATGTTTCGCTGAACTCACAGCGTAATGTATTCAAAACAAATCGAGATCAAACCGACAATAACACAACAGAGCGTCAAAGAATAAAAAAAATAGTATTTTTCAGATGTCAATCAGACAAATTAAAATTATTAATTTCGGCTACGTATTTTATCCGTCTACCTTCAAAATCAATCGGTTTTTTGCAGAGATATCAATTTACTCAGAAACCGTTTTAAGACGAAAACTATAAAAACATCCTCCGTCCTACTTTCACAGTTAAAAATTCATTGAACTAGAGCGGGACAGTTGTTTGGTTTTCGTCTTCTATTTGTTTATAAGCCAAGGAATGAACGCGTCTAACCTGTTATCAGCCAAAGCATCTTGTATATACTAGTTGTAAGAAAGTTCCGAGCGAACGACTTTATTTGTATATATAATATTTAATGAATAAAATGTTAGTCGTAAGCAATAATATTATTTACTAATGCGCGGTAAAAACCTTGACCCGATTCAGAAGATACACGATTATTTCCTCAGGTCTCTGCATTAAGATTAGAGTTTAGGAGTTAGTAGAGTATTAATGTAGAGACAGTTCCTATCGTGTGCAACATTTTATACCAAAAAAGTAGGCGCTGATTCGAAGGAGCCGCCGGACGCATGCGGCAGGACGGTGTCGTCAAACGTCGGGAGCGGTCATTCAACTGTCGGTTCTCAGCTGTTTGTGATGTCATGTAAATTACCTCTCTCGATTAAATTAACTTGATTTTATAATTTCCTATTACGCAAAGGTTACTTAAATAAAATCGTAAAGTTTAGAAACTCAACATTACACAGGGTTTTTATTGCGCTGAACATAAATGTCAATTTGCATTGATTTTGGAGACGAAATAGTCGCGTAGTAATCGTATTTTAATTTGACCGTGTAAAAACAACGTTCTTTTACATTGAACTGTCGCGTAATAGAGCATGTTGGGTCCTATAATAGAAAAAAAACTGTTTATTGTAATTATTACAATCTGTGCTCGTGTTTTTTTTTACAGTCTACGATTTATTTCGTAGAATTATTCCATTTTAATTTAATGATTTTAAAGAAAGTTTCATTTATTATTATATAATTGTGACAATACACGTATTTAACATTTATTTTTTACAATTCATATCCAACTAACTACCTATTGGGTAGGAACTACATACGGACCTCTGGTGAATGAATCAGACTAGTATTATGTATAGTTAGTACCCGGTGATGTGTACAGTCGGCTGCAGAATTGCTTCGAAACATTTAATTCCATTATTAATAGTATTATTTTTCCCCTATCTATACTCTGGTACCTATATGCCTATAGGGGCTATTCCAGCTACGCGCGGACGGGTAGGTGAGCTCACGGGCTCAACCTGAGAGAATTTGCTAACACTAGCCCTAGCAAAAGCAGTACTTCGCAGAATCTACCGCCGGATCAGAATCGCGACCCACTGAGAAGATCCGGCGGCGAGAACTGTGAAAATTCCATGAACACTATTTATTTACAGTATAATGTAGGTCATTAAAAGTTAACTAATTTGACGTTGGCAATCACCGACCCGGCCTAACCTTATTTACGCTTTTTATGGAACTACCGTTTCATTCTAAATAATGGTGTATTTAGCGCCAAAAAAATATATTTGTCACCTAAATAATATATCAATACACTTACAAGTTTATTATTAGGCATAATGATAGTTATTAATGTTGATAAACAAAGTGATCTTCTATTTCGACTACTAAAGTAAGGAGCACAATCTCTGTGTTTTAAAAAGTATCCGCTCAAAAGGAGCCAATTAAGGTGGCGCCACTGTCGCAAGAGGAATGATTTTAAAAACAGCGCCATAACCTATGAAAGTAGGATACTAAATCACGAAGGAAAGAAACACTTCCTACGTAAATTATAATAAAAATAAATAGTTGAAATTTTCAATACTGTGTATTTTCTTTAACTACACAAGTTACAATAATATTAAAATTTTAAATTCAACACACTACACTCTGTTTACAACTGCCATATTCATTATCATTTTCATTTCCTAAACTAGCGTTATTTCGGTGAGTCTTGCAAAAACAACTTGCTGTTTACAGGCGGAAACTTTTTCAACTTGGGGGCAAGTATACAAGATGATCCTCCTTACTTCTACCCTTCATATAATAAATAACTTAAATACGTTTATTTATATTAATAGATAATTCCTTGAATTTGAACATTTCTATAGAAAACATATAGGTAATTTCGACGATTGATATTTGTCAAAGTTGATGTTATATAAATAAAGTTACCGGCTGAGTAATGTCTTCTCAATAAAATTTATGGCAGCGTCGGTATCAGTAGAGCCGCCGCGCGACGGGTCGTATCCACTGTAGGGCCACGCGACTGGTTCTTGAGCGAAAAATGTACTTTTGTAGCCGACTGTACAATAAACATATTTAACAGTTGTCTCAATATAGACGTGCATCATTTCTTCTTGTGGAATTTTGCTAATTTACGTAATTTCAGTAATTCACAGAATTGAGTGGTTTTTTTTGTTTTTCAATTTAAATTTATACATTATTGATTGTATTATAAATACTATACATTCTGTTGCGTCTTCTTAAATTGCTAACGATTAACTAACATCAATGTTACCAATTATGGAATATGTATAATTTTAAAATCCGATTGTAGGATTGGTTACCGCGCAATTGTAATTTTCATTATGGGAATCATACAATTTGTAGTTTTAACACTAATCATATCAACACGTTCTGGTACCTATTTCTACCATAGCGGGTAGATAACGGTATAAGACAAGTGCTACTCGAAATAAACAAAACAAACAATAAAAGTATAATAACTGTAGATTAATTGGTATGAAAAAGGCATGAAGTCAAATGTGCAAAAGCAATAAAAAGATAATTATGTGCAGTTTCAATGCGAAAGTTCAAAATGGGTCATTGGTACCCGTAGTGGTATGTTTAGTGTCAACTGACTTCAATCGACACCTAATAGAGCGCGTCTGCAGGTGTCTAGAGAAATTAGAAAGAATATTGATGATTATCTTGTATTCAGCAGATGTTTGTGCAAGATTACCTAGTGCATGTCACGACTTCAGTTTGAATAACAGTAATCATTTCTTTTTTAATTACGAATCTTTCGGGAGTATCCGTGGCCGAACGTGAACTTATAGCCACAAGTTTTGTAATTGAGTGTACAACTCGCTTATTGATCCGCGACACCAGTGTGCTTGGTGCGAGTTTTTTAACGTTCTCGATAGCGTAAAAGTTAACTCAAATTTGTATGCAGTGGAACGTTTACTTACGTTTGCCGCTAGGGGCACTGTTCCAACAAAATTCTATAGCATAGAAGTTAACCAGTTGGAAAGTTTACCTATGTTTGCGCCTAGGGGCGCTGTTCCAACTGCAGACAAATTTGAGTTAACTTTTACGCTATCGAAAACGTTAGGAAACTCGCACTAAGCACAACACCGAATCTTAGCCTTGCGAAAGTAACGCGTTATCAATGAATTATCCGCCGATTTAATATTAAGTTTTTTTTTTGTTTTACATTATTTTAATTAAGTTTAAGTATTAGTGTAACTAAACAAAGCCACTTTTCTTTCGAGTTTTTGATTAACAATTGGCAGCTTCTGTGCGCGTTTCATAATTTGAGGTCGTGAATTTTGTTGACCCGAAAACCGGTTACTTAATTGTTCAAATTCTCTTAAGATTTATTATTAAAAAAGTGATTCCGTTAAATACCAATTTGAACGTTTTTTTTTTTACTTTAATTAGATGCCTGATATATGAATGATGTATGTACATATACGTATATGTAGGTATAAATTTAATGCGTTTAAATTGAAATTTTAATTCAATATTAAAATATGTAATTTCGGATTGATAATTGTTTTTTATATTAAGTCAGATTAAACTACATAAAAATATGTAAGTAATCAGAATAGTGTTATAAAAATGTTTTTGTGTTTCTTACCAAATGTAGGTATGAAGCTATTATGAAAATATTTTTAATATCCAATCGTTATTCGTCATTCGTTTCACGCGCTCCGGAAAAAAGTTAATACATAAGCGTTACCATTTCAAAATAACAGTAAGTTTAAATTAATTGTAACAATGTTATTAAATAAAATAAAAGTACTGTAAAATTGATTAGATACCTCAAAATAAATAAACGCGGCGAAGTTGTTACGTGCATTTCAATGTAAGTATTTTGTGCTATGTAAATGTACATATTATTTTAGTTGTAAAATTTAAAATAAAATTATATATTTTAGGAACGTTGTAATTAGATTCGCGACGAGTCGCATCGCAGTAGCTATGATACTGGGAAAGGCGTGGCCGGGCAGGTTCTCGGCTGCACCGGGCCAATCCCTACTCACTGGCAACACTGACACTTGATGTTCAGTGTTGCCATGTTCTTAGATATTTAAAAATCCAACGAAAGAGCTCCCAATACACTCTAATAATCAAAGTTTTTGGGATAATATGAAAAGCTAATTAAAAATAACGTTCGATTCTGTCTTCCAATATTTTAAGCGATTTTGTATCGTTTTTGTCGACCAGTATTATAGTTGCGCGTGGAATTTGTAACATCCTATAAACAAAATGATAGTAGTGATGTGAAAATGTGAATAGATATTTTGTAATTTTTGTATGTATAATGAATTGGGAGTGTGTACGAACGCAAAAATTTGAAAATGAAAATTTGTTTTCAGACGTGATTAAATCACATGCAATATTTTTTGTAGTATTATTTCGTTATAGATCTATCTATTATATTATGGTGCAGTTAAGAATGTTTTACATCTAACATTCTTAAAATAAAAATTCTATTGAAACGTGATCCTTCTGATATTCGGTCATCAAAACACAATTTTTACATATCCGACGGGGCAGAGCAAAGTCGCTGTCGCCCAAAACATGTCTTATCGGATCCCGGAACCACTATGGGTGCTTTTGAGCTCTTCAAGCACCGGTCACGGTTTTTACGGCGTATATAGGTGGACGAGCTCACAGCCCACCTGGTGTTAAGTGGTTACTGGAGCCCATAGAAATCTACAACGTAAATGCCGCCGCCCACCTTGAGATATAAGTTATAAGGTCTCAGTATAGTTACAACTGCCCCGCCCTTCAAACCGAAACGCATTACTGCTTCACGGCAAAAATAGGGAGGGCGGTGATACCTACCCGTGCGGACTCACAAGAGGTCTCTTCCACCAGTTCGGTTCCTACTTAGGGCATTGTGTGAAGAACAGGTTTGTTTGCTCTTTGCCTGGGTGTTTAGTATCTATATACTTAGTCTGGCCATAAATACTGTTACAATTAAAAATGAACAAAATATTACGTTTGAATTTGGAATCTGTCATTTTTATATGATTGCTCATTGAGTTTTCTCATTTTGGCGCCAATACATTGTACAATATTTTGCAATTTTAAAATGGAGTGGGGTGATAAAGAGAACCGAATCGCTGTGATTGCATTACACAAAGTAGGTATGGAGCCAAATGCAATTTTTAAAACTCTCCATACGCTTGGTATTAGTAAAATGTTTGTGTACCGGGCTATTAATAGGTGCAATGAGACCTCCTCTGTTTGTGACAGAAAAAGATCTGGCCGTCCACGTAGTGCTCGTACGAAAAAGGTGGTTAAAGCAGTAAGGGAAAGAATTCGAAGAAATCCTGTCCGAAAGCAAAATATTCTATATCGGGAGATGAAGATAGCACCTAGAACCATGTCGCGTATTTTAAAAGATGACTTAGAACTTGCAGCCTATAAGAGACATACTGGTCATTTCTTAACTGATAATTTAAAAGAGAATAGGGTGGTAAAATCGAAACAACTACTGAAGCGGTACGGAAAGGAAGGTCATAGAAATGTTTTGTTTACGGATGAGAAAATTTTTACACTTGAGCAGGATTTTAACAAACAAAATGACCGTATTTATGCTCAAAGCTCTAAGGAAGCTTCCCAATTAGTCGACAGAGTGCAACGTGGGCACTATCCGACTTCAGTTATGGTTTGGTGGGGTATTAGCTATGAAGGAGTGACTGAGCCATACTTTTGTGAAAAAGGTATCAAAACATCGGCATAAGTGTATCAAGATACCATTCTTGAGAAGGTAGTGAAGCCCCTTAACAACACCATGTTCAATAATCAAGAATGGTCCTTCCAGCAAGACTCGGCGCCAGGTCATAAAGCTCAGTCTACGCAATCGTGGTTGGAAACGAAAGTTTCGGACTTCATCAGAGCTGAAGACTGGCCGTCGTCTAGTCCCGAACTTAATCCGTTGGATTATGATTTATGGTCAGTTTTAGAGAGTACGACTTGCTCTAAACGCCATGATAATTTGGAGTCTCTAAAACAATCCGTACGATTGGCAGTGAACAATTTTCCCATGGAAAGAGTGCGTGCTTCTATTGATAACTGGCCTCAACGTTTAAAGGACTGTTTTGCAGCCAATGGAGACCACTTCGAAGCTTTTTATACTTTAAATTGTTTTATATTTATGTATTAAACTAACACACAGTAAAAGTAATGAATGTTATTTGCAATAGATTTTTTTAAATTTTTAATTGTAACGGTATTTATGGCCAGACTAAGTATATGTAAATATTTACCCATAACGCAGGGAATCTTAATTTGGGCCAGATGACTGCTTGTTTTGTTCTCTGTTATATGTATTAAAAAAAAAACTTTTATTAACTTTAAAAAAACGGAGTATAAATAAAAAAATAAAAATGCCAAACCAAAATCGTTTTTATTTACAAGTCAGTAGGTTCACATTAATCATGTATATAACTAGAGCACAGATACTATCAAGAGAAAAAAAACAGTATTCAAAGTTACATCTAAAAACTTAGTATTAAAAGAACAACATTATTAACATTTCCAATATTTTGTACTCTAAAATCGTGATAAATTACAAAAATAATAATAATAAACGTAAGACAGTGGAAAGTGAATCTCACAAATAACTACAAATAATGTAAAATTAATTAATATTAAAAATGTTACAAAATCCATTCTAATAACAATTTCAATTTAAAATTATATTAGCAAATCCGCTAAAATTGCATTTGTATAAAATTGCGTTGAAACTTTCATTCAATTCTATACTCCTGATTAGCATACAATCTTTCTTTAACTAAATAAATTGAGGCTACTTAGTTACTAATTTTATGTAATAAATTTCGTTTTTTTTCTAAATATGTTTAATTAACCTTTTAAAAATATATTTTAAGCCTACACATATCAGTTATTCAGGTATTTTAAGTAGGCATCATTATACTAAACGTCTAAGCGTAACTTACTGATAAACCAAATCCAAAAAATACCATTTGCAATTCTAAAAATGCACATGAAGTACAATCAATAACAAAATCATATTCAATTTTAGTTAATAACGAGCCAATTAAAATTTTTCGAAGCAACAAGTACATTCAATGTACTGTTAAAACATTAAAATTGTTTGAAAATTAATAAATTTTGATTTAAAGATTTTTTTATTATTGACTGTATGGAGAGAATTATAAAACAATAAATAATTAACTAGTTTTATCAAAACTTACTACCTATAATTTTCTATAGGAAGACTGTTGTTAAACAAAAGCAAGTTAATCAAAAACAGTACTGTAAAATAGATGGAATCTGATTTGGATATTTTTGGTACAAAATGTTAATTGAGGTTACTGATTTTGGTTTTTCTTTTAAATACAAATTAAACAATATTTGAAACTTTTAGTTCCGTAATCAACTCCATAGTTGAAGAGGATTCTGTGAGATTTTCATTTGCCTATTATGGCACACTTTTGGTTAACATTTCCCAATGGTACTGATTTTTAGCAGAAAAAAATCCGAATCATTAATATGACTTAACTTCACTCATTTTCGTTTTATTTCTTAACAGAAGTAAGAATACATTCTCTTATTATCCAGATATAATTTATATCATCTCTGCTATGTCACATTATATTTCAGTCTTCACATCAAACAAATACACTGGTACAAAACACCATAGTCTAGAGATATGTATGAACAATACTTTCAAGAGAGCAACAATTTCTTGGCAGGCGCTCCTGTTTCTTCTGCCCTCTAGGGCTTCGACAATTTAATAATAACATAAATGCTTACTGGTAGTGTTACAGATGACGAAGCAAGTTTATCTAGGAAGATATTTATTTGAATTTCATAGCTATAATTTTCAAATTATGACAGTAAAATTTAGTAAAAGCAAGCCTAGTCGTACACATTCTCTGCTAGGTTTAGGAGAAAACATATCGAGAATTTCTAATCTAAATACCGAAACTAATAGAGTTAGTAGTTGAAGAACTTGATCTTGGCGACTAGGCTAACAGCTTTGTTAACGATTACATGTATAACTAACTATCAAAACTTAAGTACATACCCTAGTACTAAACTTTATACAACATTCCTGGTACTTATTCCTCAGCTAGTGAGCGTCGCCTCGTCTATTAGGGGTACTTTGGCAACTTCGAAAAATATTGTATGTGAGTATTTATTCCTAACTGTGCTAATCGCAGACTTTGGCTTCTTGTGTAGAACTGCATTCTGGGCTAATGCAATCGGGAGAATTTCTTTGAGGTTGTAACCTGAAAAATATAAAAGGTACATTATATTTATTTTCGAACATAGAATGATTTATTCTGAATTATTTTCTATTAAAAAATAGAAATGATTTATTCTTATAGTAACAGTATAATTTCATTGAAAATTTTGTATGACCTGTCTGATTATTACATACTCTTGATTGTTTTCTTTATTTACCTGTATAATACTGTAGAGTGGGTGTCCATGAACCTAGATTCTTCATCCTGAGAGCAAGGTACAGTGCAGCAGCAGCCATTTTACTGTCTGAATTTTCAATAAGTCCATATTCCAACAAGCATTGTTCTAACACAAACCGAGCCAGTGTTAGTGTAGGCATTGATACACGAGCACACTGTTGAAAGTTAAATTGATATTATGATGTTCTGTTGACGAAAATAGTGTTTTTTTTTTCTTCAAATGAATATGAAATGTTTTAATATAATAGTGGTGGTCTAATAGTATATTATATATCAGACTGTGTACTGTGTTTGAGTCATACTACTAAAACTACTTAGACAATACAGTATGGCACAAAAAAATACAAAAAAATACAATAAATGTGTTTACATGTGTGCACAATTATAATAAGACAATGTTGCCTTTCAGTTAGACTAACCAGTGGTACTAAAACGAGACTTGTGTCACAAATTCAAATTCGGTGGTTCAACACAGTTTTTCAGTCTTGTCATAATATTGTGAAATTTTCTTTTTTAAAGGTGTTAACATGGGCGACGTAAGACAATACTATCTAAAAAAAAATCTGTATTCTAACAAGCCCAGTTTCTCACCCGGGCGTATCTCCTGAGGAACCGGTAGGAGAGCGGCACGCCGAGATCGAAGTCGATGACCCGGAGAATGGTTATCTCCATTTTAAGCAGTTGGCTCAGCGTATATGCACCGTCGCATATGTACAGGAAGTCGTCCACTAGGGGCGGAATGCGCTCCTACAAGTACATTATATGACTGATTGGACAACACATTGCTTTGACTTGCATGCACAGTTAAAATATTTGTGAGCTTAAGTTTGAAATTATCTGCTTCTCCTAGATTTAATATTAAACCTTTACAATTGTTTCACAGCAGAAATAGGAAGGACATAATTTGATCATCACATACCTTATTAATACCATAAATTTAAGTTTTAATCACAATAACATAAACAATGGTGTGTTGTGCAACTATTGTTACCTTTTAATTACTCTTTTTTACAACACTGAGCACAAAACTACTCACATCAAACTTAGAAGCTATAAACAAGGCAGATGCTCCTAATAGTTGCAATTCTTCCTTTGTCAGTTGTTCTATTTGTTCATTCTTAGTTGAACGAGTAAGGAACAAGTCAACTAGCTTCACAGCCAAATACAGGGTCTCATGATTGAGTTCAAAACTCTCTTGAACTTCAACCATCCAGTCTACAAGTAGCGCTCTCATCCACGATGTAATTCCATTCATACGTTTCAGGTAATCGTCAATAGGAAAAAGGCGCTGAAAGAAATTAATTTTCATTTTATTACACAATAACTGTTGTCTAGAGTAACAGATATAGAGTAGTAAATGCATGAATAATACCTTAATATATCGGAATTAATTTAAAATAAAAATGAAATCAATTATATTTTATTAACCAATGATTTTTGGGAAATTTAAAAAAAATGTTTTATGTAAAACCACAACTCACCTCCCTGTTTTTCAAATAATTAAATATGTCCATAGCATAATGAGATACTTGGAGTGGATCATTCCAATTCTCAAAGTCAAAGTCAAGAACACCAGAAGGAGTTTTATGAGGGCTCTCTGTTTCTTCATCCAAAGACCTAGATGTGTCATCCAAGTTTACTTTGTTCAATTTCTCACTGATTTGTTTGTACTCTTCTTTAGTTACCTCAGATGGGCTACTGAAAAAGAGGTTAATGTGGCTTATGGAAGACAAAAATACCATCAGTGTGATGTTTATTCGCCTTGTCTTTAAACATTATAAAAATAAGGTGTTAATTTTTTTTATAAATTTTGAATTGTCAGTAAACTATTTCATTTATCATGTTCATTATCTGTCATCAATTAAATCTATCATGATGAAGGTGATCATTTTTGTATCCTTGAAGTTTTATGGGTGGTTGGAGTCACTTGACAGCAAATATCTAGAGTTGGTTGACAAATAAGCTACCTACTCCTCAAATTGTAATGCATGATCAATTAATAACAAGAGTAAGTGGCATATAATGGATATGCATTGGTTAATAATAAATGACTGGTATACCACCTAATCATGTCTGCCTATTTGATCATGTAGGGGTTGGTTATTGATTTATACTAAACTCCTGATTAGCTAAATTGGAGAATTTTGAACGAAGCTCAATATCTCATGGCTTTGAATTAAAATGTGGAGTTAAAATAATTTTTAATTTTCGAATATGTTTCAAATACTATTTACTTTTTAACTACCTACTTGTACTTACATATTCTCCAAGGCAGTCATATAAAGTGAGGGTTCACCGGAAACATCACTTCTTGCAGATTTGACTGAACCATTACTCAGATTCTGCTCTTTGAGTTTGTCTTTCCTTTCAAAATTCTTCAGGATGCCATTCTGAGCTCTTGTGGCCACTTGCTTGGGTGGGTCTTTGGTGAAATGTTTCTGTACTGCATCAATAGCATTAGTGGCTACCCGCTGGAGTTGTTTGGTCTTTGAAGTTTTGCCATTTAGTGTGCTTGTTTGTGATTTGATGCTCTGAAACATTTGTAGTTTGGAAGTTCAATTTAAGAGATCAAAGAAATGAAATTATACAGTGAGAACAGCTAACATTGTTTTGCCTACTGACTCTGTACTTTTGCTCATCTCAAAACAATTATCATGTATTCATCTCTCAATAAAAAAAAAAAATTGGTTCTTCCCATGAAGTTTAGGGTGCTAATTAACAGACTAATTCAATATGAATTAATCTGTATTATATTTTAACTATTTGTATTAAATAATATTGACATTATTTAAAAGAAAGAAGCTTAACGAAAAGTATCATTTTAAATAAATAGTAATTTAAAAATGAATTTCAGTGGTCAGTTTTTATAATTAATTCAATATTAACAGAAATTCAGTTCACATTTGAATTTCATGAGGTTTATTAAACTATTCCAATTAAAAATCAATTTCTTCAAACATTTCATTCAATTCAGTCATTACTTTAGTTAAGTAAAAAGACCAATACTGTGATTATGAAATGAATGAAAAAATCCATTAGTACTACATTAGTGTTGTGAAGGCATAACAGCAGGTATAACTGTCCTGCTTATTTGTGGTAGGCCTTCATATTGATCAATAAAAATATCATCATATTAATCAATAAAATATAATCATTCATTTCAGTTTTAAGGATGGACCAGCCATTATATAATCCAAGACTTTGGTCTTATGTTTCAATATGAATAACAGTATTCACACAGTAATGTGTTCTTATAACCACTTAACACAGGGAGGGCTTTCACCTCTGTCACCTAGATACCAATAATAAAAGCAATGATATTATATACATACATACATAGGCAGACATCCAGTTATGGATGTTTAGAATATTTGATTAGTTAATTTGTAGAAGAAAAATAGAATTCACAATAATTATAGGTCAGTCAAGCAGTTGATCTGTCTATGGATGTAGAAGGTATGGTATTACCCATATTGATTATTAGATTGCAAGTTACACCAATTTTACAATGTTTTATGGATAATATTGTTAGTTTCTTTCATTTCTGGTGAATTTGTATATTTACCAAGTAAACCGCTTCAAACTATGTATCTATCTTCTTTTTTATGACTATAAAGCCTATCAATGATTAGTTATTGTGGATTTGAAATAACTTTACTTATCCCTAATCTTCCAGTTTATCATAAAAATGCCATGTGTGATAAAAATTATTACTTATGACTTACTTTTATAACTACTGTTTCCATTGTATAACTAATTAAATCAAGGCTTATTATTTATTCAAAATCTGTTAAAACTACAAGCAATACATAAGGTTAAAATATTTTTAAATCTGTAATGAACAACTAACATGATCATATGGAGAAAACATATTAATAAGAAGTTGTTTATGATTCAAACAGCTGTAAATAATATTGTAAGCTAATAGTATGCTCCTGTTTAAATTTGGAGGGAAATAACTTTAGAATTTTATTTAGGTATTATAAACGTAAATCTTGATCAGTTTATATTAACATACAGAAAGGAAGCAGATACCCTCTGAATAGAAGTGTTTCTGGAGTTCAACAAACCTTTACTGCTGGAAGCATTTTAGTCTCAACAGTGACTTTCTTCACTGGCATGGCTTTATCCTTGTCCTGGGGCGCGCACGATTTGTTATAGGCGTTCGTTATATCTCCGAACGCCGCCCTCTTCGCAGTCACATCTTTAAGAGGACTGTCTGCTTTCCTTTTATTGGGAATTTTTAGACTGTCCTTGTGACTCTTTAGAGAAGCTAGCTGCTTACTCCTCGTCGTAATGCCGTGGCTTAACATGCCGTTCAGGTTCTCGTTGACGCCGAGCGGTTTCGTTGCCAATCTTGTTGGCGCCATTACGAACCTACTGTGATAATAAAGAAGACGAATCACAATCACGTGCTGTACAAACGTACTATCTAACTCAGTAGGTAGTTCATTTATAAAGTATACAAGAAGTTTGAAGTAAAAACATAAACAAGCATTTAAAAATTATCATGTTTAACGACTAAAATGGAGGCAAAACAAGCGAAGTCTACACAGCGTCAAACGGTTTTCTAACGACTATTTTCTACTCACCTTTTAACGGCACGAGCCGTTATATTATAGATGTTGATTAAACAATTTTAGGTTCCAAGCTGAGAATTTAGAGCAAACTTTTCATAAATTCTAAAGATTTTAACAACGACACGACAGATACGTCTTTAAAAACCGTTGAGCTGCTTTGAATTTTAATTGGTTAATGGCCTAGCCAATAGAGTATAGATTTTGCAAGAGCTACGTTCCGATTTACGAAGGTGAAACTAACGTCAATTTTTCCCATAATTGCCGACTTAATAAAAGCTACCCTGTAGAAGTTCTCAAGAGTGGCGTATTCTACAAAAAAACTCTTTGTTTAATTTTAGAAATAAAATATCATACTTTGTGTTTGAGTAACGTAAACGAAAATGTAATGTGATGTGTATCTTAACAAAGTTGAGAATAATGGAATGGAATTTTAGACTGACATTAAATGTGGGTTGGAAAATTATAAACATTTTTAGCATGTCAGAGACTGCATAGACATAGACGAATTATTCCTCTCAGCCGTTTTGAGTCATTTAGAGTGTGAAGTGTGAAACATAATGAGATGTTTTGCTTAACATTATACTTTACATTACTTTTTAAATTGCACGTGGTATGAAAGCTTACACTATAGATATTTGAAAGCAGAAGTAAACTTAGCATTTATTTGCTAAATTTCATTGCTGTATGCTAAAGATATCGAATTTTTTTTTTTAAGCTGGAACGTCAATGATTATGATAACAAAAAGTCTGTCATGCAAAGTCTAGACCTACATAAATTTATCAAAGATAGTACACTGCCTAAATATTTATATCGTTAATTTAAAAACATTAAATTATTATGTCAAATTACACATAAGAGCATTGAAATATAAGATTAATAAAGAGTGAATGTTGATTTCATTATGTTAGGAGGTGCTAAACTAAAAGTAGTGTTTACTCACGAAAAAACTTGCTTCGCATATATAAGTCCAAAGTACAGTAGTAATAATGAACAGGTAAAGAAAAACAATAAAAATTTAAATAATGAAATGTTGGATAAACAGGAGGTTTATTTTATTACAATGCATCAATACAAAGATTTCACTTTTAGGTTATTAATTTGTTTATCATTGGCTTAATTGGCATTATAATATGTGAAATGGTCATTGATCCCATTAAGAAATAAACCCTGTTTAAAAATTATAAAAAAAAGATTTCCTGAAAATATTTCTATTTTTTATGTAGTTTATAGACTGATGCTATTATTTAGTTTTAACAAAGAATAAATTGTTTTTTTTAAATATTCAAATAGATCATTTATTAGATATATAAATACAGTCATACTGGCAAACAGTTACAAATGTAGATCCTTTTAAAATGTGTAAGATCTATGATCTGCTGTACCATGTCAATCTTATGTGTTATTCAAAGAATTATTTTCAGGAAATTCAATCCTTAGAAACTTAAAAAATGTTTTCTGAAGTTTTATAGATCTACTTTTTTCTTTGTGTTTTCTCTGTACTTAATTATCACTTTGTTATGACTTTATTTAATTTTGTGTCAAAAATTGTTGTCTGAACAAGTAATTTTATAGCTGCCCAATACTTAGGGCCACTGAATATTTCATTCATTTTAGGTTGCAAGACATTTTTATGTTCTAAAAAGAAATAGTTCATACTATAATAATAATAAAAAAAAAATCTTTTACATCATACTGAAATAAATGGCATTTCTGGTGTTCAAACCTAAGGATCATTTGTGAAATTGCAGCAAAAAGAAGAAGTAACTCATTTATAGTGGTAGCTTATTAAACTAGATGAGTGATATAGCCTATATACTGTACCCTAAAATAAAATCTAATCTTTTAATTTTCTTATAAAATTATGACATGAGAACTAAAAAAAGATCTTTTACAGTCTCAGTGCCTTCAAGTTCTATACAAAGACAAGCACCTGTTTTTATGGGTGGTGTACAGCAGCGGTGTTGCGGAAGGACAAATAGCTTGCAATCCAGTGCATAGTCAACTGATTGGCCTAGATGAGGGAGCTGATGTGTTTGTCTCACCATACGGTGATGTGCGAGTGCTGGATGAATTGTATATAGATACGGACAGCCCTGATGACCAGGAGTTGTTGGTAAGATCTTTAAGGTTTTGATGGTGTGGAAGTAACGGCAATGAAAAAGAAATAAATGATAAACTTTTTCACTATATATTTTTTTGTTCGTTCAATGTAAAGTATCTGTTTTAAAGATTTTCAAATAATAGAAATTGAATAATTTAGTAGATAAATAATTCAGCCAGCATGTTACTGTAAAATTTTTCTTGTGAACATATTACTCTGTTTGTTGTTAGGCGTGTAAGTACGTACTGATTGATTGGTACTACCATCCTGCCCATTTCTATGATGAAGCACTTGTGCGTTACAGTTGGAAGTGTCTTTACACATTTGACGCATTCGTGGCGGCATTCACGTTTTGATGTCAATAGCCTTCACTAACCACGCAACACTAGATGGGCTTTTGCCTCGTCTGCAATACGAATCTGTAATATAATTAATAGTGAACGTCATTTTTTTCCCATGTATTTATAGTGTTTACGTGTGAGCTCGAAAAGTTCGATATGAAAATCCTCATCATCACAATTATAAGCATATTAGCTGTTACTCGAGGCTTCGGCCGTATGGTCAAGGAAATGTGTCAATGTGATGTTGGTCCAATGTTACAAGGCATTATGTCTGTTATATTATATATGTCATTTTCCTGCCTTGTCTTGCCTTAACACTATGTTTTTAAAAATTTTTTTATTATCAATCCCTTGCTTCGCTTCGAAAGAAGGACAACAAACAAACACACTTTTACATTTATAATACATATATATAAAAAATATTGACTTAACAATGAATATCTTAATGTTTTTATTGATTGATTATTCAGGAACACAATGCGGAATTACTGCAGCTACGAATACTAGATCAGCTTCGATATGTGGCGGCACATCAAAAATGCGTCGTGTGGATATTTTCATCGATGCCCATCGTTTTCACGCCGAAGCAGACCGGCTTGCTCGTGAACCAGAGCCGCGTAGTCGTTAAAGTTGACGCGTTCAATAGCTACCAAGGCTTCCAAACACAACCTCCAGCACCAAACGAACCCAATGGCCCTTTTAAAAATATAGGCTTAATAAACGAAGAGATGCTTCGTCCATATTTGAACTCACCAAAGAGGCTTGTATTGCGTTCGGTACCTATAGACAGCGACGGCAAAAAGAATTTGATACATCCTTACACGGTTTTCATACATGAAGATTTAATAGGCGAATGCTTCAAAAATTTAACTGTTATATTATCGACTATGAATTCTATTCCTTCGATTCTGAGCGAAACTGATGAAGACGATAAAGAGAACAATAATAACGCCATAAACGATTTGTGCGTTGAAATTGTGCCCATAGACGGTATCATATACAGGAGCTTGAGCCGCGAAGTGTACAACAGAAACATACCGACAGTGTTGATACCGAAATCATTGAATGCCATTATCAACATTGAGAATGGAACGAGAATTATATTCAACATAATCGGGGATACGGTAGAGCAACCTGTGCACATTGAATTGGTGACGTATACAGAAGAAAAACAAACAGAAGTCCATGTTATAGACAGATTCAAGAAATGCGTCATAGAGAACACGCATTCAGGCAAAAGATTTTTAATAAATAACGGCATAGTTAAGCAGAATAGTCAGATAAGCGATGGTTATTTGCGGTTCAATTTGAAACCAGACGGTTTGAAATATACCCTCTTGGATTCGGAGAGTTTGAGGCATTTCACTACGAAGGCAACGTGCCTTAACGACACGGATTTAGTCCTGCCGAAACGCAGCGCCTCCCGCATGGAATATGATTTCAAGAACTATTGCAGGACAATGAAATCAATGGAGACTTTGATAAGTAAAGTTCTCTCGCATTTGTATTTCGAAATACATAGAGAGGCGACGTTTAAAAATGCATCAGAGATTAAAAGCAACGTTCTGATCACGGGCAAGTGTAGTTTGTTAACGTCAATTAATAGTTTTACACCTGGCATACCAACTAGCCCGGTAAGATATAAGGTTTGAAAAGTGGGACCGTCATTAGACAGTAAGAATCTTATTTTTGCCGGGCAACATCCGTGACTTTAGCCTGTTGTTTCAAAAATGACAATTTACGTTTTGGTGGCAATGAATTCTGGTATCAGAGAGCTCGATTATCCATAGCACAGACACAGAGTCAGAGGAGTTTATGTAATAATAGTCGACAGGACTGCATTTCAGAAGAAACTGGTATGCAGGAATTGGTTTACTGATATCAGTGTACCATGTTGTCCTTCCGAAGTAGAAGTATCTTCACTAATTTACTTAACTAAGCCCTTAATTATTATGAAAATCATTAAATTTCTCAATCATTCTAAATTTCTAGTTCAAGTACTGCTAGCAGGAGCTGGGTACCGTCTTAACTAGTTCGGTTCTAATTATGCGTTCTGATATGAAAATTATGCAATTAATCCATCAATGACAAGACATAAGTCTTTAAGTTGAGATATATTATGGATACCGGGCCTAACTATCTTGCTTAAATCAATAAAAATTGTGCGCGTTCAACTTGGTGCACATGAAAGAAGTGAACTTTCTTTTGCGGTGTTTAGTATTATGGTTTTCTTCATTTTTCATCTTTAAATCACAAATGCTGTGTATAAGAGAACCGACCTAGCTCGCTTTGTACTTTCTCTCTCGAAACGGTTGAGTGGTTCGCGAGACGCTGTCTATTCTCTCATTCTCGCTCTTCATAAATTGTATCTTTTCTCTCTGGCCGTAACGGATCTGTCGCGTTAAATTAACGCGAGTTCAATTTTACTCATAACGCGCCTAAAGAAGTTTCACTTCAAAACGATTTAAACAAAATTTAGTTGTACCTTGTTTATTAATATCAAGGCAAGGCCTTGTGTTAGAATGTGACGACTTGTTGACAGGGTCCAGTGGTATGGGTAAAACATCGTTGTGCCACATAATCGAAAATGAGCTGACGGTCTGGTCTCATACGTTGCACTGCAGGGCGCTCAGGGGCCGTAAGGATATACCGGAGATCCTGGGCAAAGCTATCCTCATGTGCCAAGAGCACAGTCCGGCTGTATTGATCTGCGACGACGTGGACGCCATGGTACCGCCCGATATGGAGGGAGTTTCGCCCCAGGATATAGCGTATTATCAGAGGTAAATGTTAGTCCATCACATTCTCACGGATCGCTTGGTACCTCTGGGTCTGCGGAGGGAATTCTATATTTTGTACCGTATGTTCCATGGGGAGTGCTCTGAGGAATTGTTTGAGATGATACCATCATATCGTTTTTACCATCGCACCGCCCGCCACCGGAATAAAGTTCATCCGTACTACCTGGAGCCACTGCGTTCATCCATAGTGCGTTTCCAGAGATCTTTTTGCCACGTACCATCCGGCTTTGGAATGGGCTCCCCTCCACGGTGTTTCCCGAGCGCTATGACATGTCCTTCTTCAGACGAGGCCTGTGAAGGGTATCAAACGGTAGGCAGCGGCTTAGCTCTGCCCTTAGCATTGCTGATGTCCATGAGTGACGATAACCACTCACCATCAGGTGGGCCGTATGCTTATCCGCCTATATGGCAATAAAAAAAAGTCCATATCTCAGAACGTGGGGAGAAACCATCTTATGTACAATGTTATTCCGTTATTAGATTAGCCGTGGTCATCAAGCACCTCCTGCAGACGTGCGCGGGTGTGTGCGTGCTGATGACGTCACTCTCGATGAAGTCCCTGCACCCGGTCCTCAGGCAGTTCAACGGGAAGCCGCTGTTCACGGCGCACTTCGATATACCTGAAGTTGAGCAGGTGAGACAGTAGACGACGACATGTTGTGTTCGACGTGTTCACGGATAGGAAGGGGCGTTGATGATGACGTCACAGTTTTTAACATTTACTTAATAGCAATGACGCCTTCAAACAGTTTTTCTTTTTATTGCTCAGATGGGTGGACGAGCTCACAACCCACCTGGTGTTAAGTGGTTACTGGAGCCCATAGACATGTACAACGTAAATGCGCCACCCACCTTGAGACCTAAGTTCTAAAAAGTCTCAAGTATATTTACAACGGCTGCCCCGCCTTTCAAACCGAAACGCATTACTGCTTCACGACAGAAATAGGCGGGGTGGTGGTATCCGCGCGGACTCACAAGATGTCCTACCACCAGTGAAAATTCCAAATTCTATGAAATTAAGATGAGGCTCCACTTCCAATGAAAATGAAACCCGTAAAAAAAAATGTCCGCACGGTTAGGTACCACCACCCTGCCCATTTCTGCCGTAAAGCAGTAATTGCGTTTCAGTTTGAAGGGCGGGGCAGCCGTTTTAACTATACTGAGACCTTAGAACTTATATTTCAAGGTGGGTAGCGCATTTACGTTGCAGATGTCTCTGGGCTCCAGTAATCACTTAACACCAGATGGGCTGCGAGCTCGTCCACCCATTCAAACCACAAAACAATTTATTTTCAGGATGAAAGAGTGGAGCTGTTCAAGCATTTGATGAACGAGAAGATCCGTCAGCAGTTCGAGGTAGCGGACGATGACGTCATCACGTTAGCCATGGACACCGCCTCGTGCACAGTGCGGGACATCATCGACCACTTCAATAAGAAGATATTTAAAGCCGTCAAGATGAAAAGTAAGTGTAATTATATAGTGGAGGTTTACAACGAATGGGAAGATCTTCTACCGAGCGGTGGATATTGCTCGGTAGACCGACGGTCCGAATGTTGTTGTTCGGAATTTGTATACTGGTTGTTAAGAGACTGTTTCCGAAAACGAAGATTTGTACCTACAAAGTTGTAAATTTTGGGTAGCGCGGTATCAGCGCCGCGCCCGGGCGTTCGTTGACCCGAGCATCAGCTGTTTGTGTTTTTGTGTTTCATTGCTGGTTTTTAAAAAAAAGTAAAGTAACGTATTTTTTATGAAACTTTCGTTTCATTTAGCTGTACTAACATGATGGAGCGTAAGTAATGCTAATAAAACATTTTAAAAATATGTTTTTTTTTAAATTAGGATTATCGATTTTTTTCCGTCTTATCATCAAAAGTGTCATTAGTACTATCGTCTGTCTTCTTCGTTTTCGGAATCGGTCTCCTAACACCCAGTATTGAGAGGTGTAAAGCTATTTGGTTTAATCGACGAACTTTAGAAGAGAGCCATTTAATGTTTAAAATTTGAAAAAAATATCGTAACAAAAATACTACTTCAGCTATTTGAATGGATTACAGCTAAATGAAGTTCAATTAAAAACATCGTCCTGTTGATGTTAACCCCAAATGAAACGGTTCTTTAGCATAATTACAAAGATAAAATATGTCGTGTATTAAGTAAAATGTCGCTTATACCAAATATCCTTTCACCTCTTGATATGTTGTAATTAAGTAACAGTTCGAAAATCGTAACATCGCCTAGCTTTCATTATTCTTTGGTATTTTCTTCGGAATTAGGCAAGTTGTAGAAACTTTCGGATATATGTTAGAGGAAGTTCTAAAGTAGCACCTGTGATAGAGAAGTTGAGAAGGGCGCGTTTGGGATGGTATGGACATATGATGAGACGAAATGAAAATGAGGTTGGTAAGAGAGCGTTAACTATGAATGTGGAAGGATATAGAGGAAGAGGTAGACCTAAGAAGAAATGGATGGATTGCGTGAAAGATGATATGTGTAAGAAGGGAGTGAGCGAAGAAATGGTATATGATAGAGGAGTATGGAAGGAAAAAACATGTTGCGCCGGGCCCAAGTGACTGGGAGAAGCGCAGGATAATGATGATGATGTAGAAACTTTCGGGAAAAAAAAATTAAAATAGCAAACCCGAGATTAAATCGTGATAGTGATTTTTATTAAATGAATTTCGCTATTTAGAAACAGTCTAAGATGCAGATATACGTGGCGAATACGCTTCTAACACATACAAATTATGGTGTCCTTAGAAGCGAACCCAGACATTGTGAAGCCTCGTTTAGTCGAGGAAACAGCTAAGGACACAGAGAAAACCACCGCGTTCGACATATGGGGGCCGGTGGGGGGCTTGGACGACGTTAAGCGGGAACTCACGGAGTGTATCTTCTGGCCCGTCATGGTGAGAGAAAATACTTCAGACAACTTTAAATTATTAACTAAAACACGATGCTGAATTGAAAATTTACTGGTGGTAGAACGTCTTGTGAGTCCGCACACTGCCTATTTCTGTCGTGAAGCAGTAATGCGTTTCGGTTTGAAGGGCGGGGCAGCCGTTGTAACTATATTGAGACCTTAAAACTCAAGGTGGAGGCGGAATTTACTTTATAGATGTTTATGGCATTACAATACCGCCCCCTGAGTTTCTCGCCTGATCTTCTCAGTGGGTCGCATTTCTGATTCGGTGGTAGATTTGCGGAGCACGGCTTTTGCTAGGGCCAGTGTTAGCAACACTTCCGGTTTTAACCCCGTGAGCTCACCTACATGTCAAGGAGAAGCTGAAATAGCCTCTCAAGGCCATCAGCATAGCTAGGAAAAAAAACAAATTACAGTACCCAGCGTTGTTCCCGTCACAATCCTGTGGGATCCTACTGTACGGTCCCCCCGGAACCGGCAAGTCCTACATCGGGTCCTGTCTCGCCAGACTCAACAATATGCACATGATAACAGTGAAAGGGCCCGAGCTTCTCTCCAAGTACATAGGGCAGAGCGAGAAGGCTGTTCGGGATGTCTTCGACAAGTAAGTGCGTTACCAATTGAAAAAATATATTAAATGCATGTAAAGAAAAACCTTTATTCTTTAAAACTTTTAAGTTTTTAAAAAGGATTTTTCTCCAATGTCATTCAGTAGAGTCAAGTCTGACGTTGAGTAAAGAGAGATTTGATTTTTGTGTAGTTTTTTAATACTGTTTACTGTTTTATTTTTAATATTAATTTTAAAAGAGATTAAGGGCTTTAAATGTATTTTTTTTAATAGCCTTGTAGGCAGACGACCTGATGGTGACTGGTTACCGTCGCTCATAGACGGTATCTTATCGTTTCATATCTTCTTATACATATAACAGAAAAAGCAATTAAGCCTTTTATTATTTATTATTATTAATTAATTAAATAATTATTAATATTAATATTTATTATTAATTCTAAAGTACTCCATTCCTTTAACTAAAAAACAACTTTCTTTGAAAGAATTACCAGTAAAATTTACAGTGGTATCCCAGTCGGGTCTGTCATTTTGATAACTTATTACGAATTAATAGAACACCCTGTATATGTGTAAGGATTTATGAATCGTGGGAACCTTTGCCAAGTTATCTGTCAGTGTGACAGTGTCATATGTCACCTCATGCAATTTTTGTTGATAAAAATAGTTTGTCGTATCAGACGACGAAAAACACGGCCAGAGAAATATGTGGAACCTGATTTGTGACGTAATAATATCACAAACTAATATCAGGCAAGGAAATTGTTGGAACTCCATACCTATAAATAAAAAAATGGCGATAAAAATTCAAAGCGGTGTCGGTGCTGAAAAGGAAAGTTTTTCACTGGTGGTAGGACCTCTTGGGAGTCCGCACGGGTAGGTACCACCACCCCGCCTATTTCCGCCGTGAAGCAGTAATGCGTTTCGGTTCGAAGGGTGGGGTAGCCGTTGTAACTATACTGAGACCTTAGAACTTATATCTCGAGATGGGTGGCGCATTTACGTTGTAGATGTCTATGGGCTCCAGTAACCACTTAACACCAGGTGGGCTGTGAGCTCGTCCATCCATATAAGCAATAAAAACAAAAAAAAAACCTAATTGCCTGATTCTTGTTGATCAATCTGCATAGAAAATTTTTCCGAGTGTGAAAAATGAAATCGTTGGAGTGAATCAATTAACTTATACCAATCTCAACAACGTTACACATATAACAGAAATATGTATATATCTATGTGTTTTTTTAATAATAATATCTTGAAATAAATCACAGATCTACACAAAAAAGATTTTGATGAATTTCAGAGCGGACATGAAGCGTCCGTGCATATTGTTCTTCGACGAATTCGACAGTCTCGCGCCCAAGTAAGTTTATACTGTAAGTGTCCTCTTTGCTTTAGTTTTGCGCGCACACATACAGGGTGTAAGGAAATCGTATCCTGCTAAATCCGTAATAAATTAAACAAAGAACGTGAAAAACATACTATTGAAGGACAGTAAGATTGTTAAGTTAATAACTTATTTGTTAACTCTTCGCATTTTTTGCTGGTGGTAGGACCTCTTGTGAATTCGCACGGGTAGGTACCACCGCCCTGACTATTGCTGTTGTGAAGCAGTAATGCGTTTCGGTTTGAAGGGTAGGGCAGCCGTTGTAACTATACTGAGACCTTAGACCTTATATCTCAAGGTGAGTAACGCATTTACGTTGTACATGTCTATGGGCTCCAGTAACCACTTAACAACCAGGTGGGGGCTGTGAGCTCGCCCAACCAATAAAAAAAAAAAGTTCGTGTGCGAGTGCGCAATGAAAAGTGAAATCAGCTCCTTAGCTATGTGCATCATATAATCGCGTTACATTGCGTGCGGCGCAGTGGGATTGAAATGTAATTTTCGTGGTTTTCCTGTCGAGTCCCTCTAGTATGTACAGGATCGATTACCTTACACACGATATTCAATCTATTTTTATATATTATGTCAGCACAACGTCACCAATTAGTTAACTAAAAATAGTTAAAGTTAAACTGTTTTCTTAATGTTCCGTATGTCAACAACTGCTTGAGAGAATTCATGACTAAGCTACGCTCACTTTCTTTATAAATCCGAGTGACTATTGTTGCACATAACACGATAACTACATTCCCGATCATGCAGACAGAAGTAAAACCGACACGTCATGTCGGATCCTCCCGATCCACTAACGGTGCTTTTTAGGTACCTCAACCACCGGTCATCGTTCTCGTCGAACCCGTCGCTTGCGACGAAGGGCACGGCGAGCAAATTAACCCACAGACACAGCCCACTGAGTTCCTCGCCGGATCTTATCAGTGGGTCGCGTTTCCGATCCGCTGGTAGATTCTGCGAAGCACTGTCTTTATTAGGGTCAGTGTTAGCAACTTCGCCGGGTTTGAGCCCCGTGAGCTCACCTACACGTCAAGGAGAAGCTGAAATAGCCTCTCTATGTCAGCATAGGTAGGAAAGAGAAAAAAACTGCACAAAACATTCAGACTCAAGCAGTCGAACGGAGTAGAGCTCTCTGCTGTTATCGTTGTACACTTGATTAGAAAAGTGAGACTTAATTACTGTCACTATGGAAGGTAATGATTATTGAGGAAGATAATGACGTCGCTGACGTTCTTAATTTAAAAACACCATGGAACCAGACTCTCTTTTATATCATATTAATATTTATTTTTTAATTAGTACTTATATTCGGTCTAGTCTTATAGTTTTTCAGGACTAAGTGGTCTTCCAAGGCTATTATTTATTTTACTTCTAGAAATAAAACGCGTCTAGTATGTATGTCAAAGAATCCTGGTCACATTGGCAGACGTGGTCACGACTCGACCGGAGTGACGGACAGAGTGGTGAACCAGCTGCTGGCGAGGATGGACGGCGCCGAGGGCGGGGCCAGGGGTCCCGTTATAGCGGCCACGTCGAGGCCGGACCTGGTGGACCCGGCGCTGCTGAGAGCCGGCAGACTTCAGAGGCATATCTACTGCGAACTGCCCGATAGGGTAAGTGTTAAACGGTTCTATTTAAGTGGGCTGGGCTCCGGAGTTGAGGGGCTATTTTAAAACACTGACTTTATGGTTAATATACTTCAAAATATATAGTTCAAAAGCTATCATGTCATGTGAGTACGCTTGTATAATAGTCCATTTATCTAATATTTTGTCAGTAAACACTATGTTCATCACAGTTATTCTCTCAGAGATTCCTTTGATTTCTTCTATTTTGTCGGATAGCCTCATTTTTTATTAGGAACCCTACTCCATAAAGGCCTGATGTTTCATCTTTGTAGTGTAAGATATAGTGGTCCTCCTATCCTACAATTAAAGATAGAATTTACTAGAAACATTATTTATTAAGACCTCAATATATTTTAGGTAAAATCAAATAAATAAAAACTAAAATTAATTTATTATTAAGTGATACTTAAAAAAAACCTGACCGCATTAAAATGACCGACTAAAAAACAAATTCTATAATATTTCCTTAAATAAATTTGAATTTTTTTTTCTCCACCAGTGGGGCAGACACGAAGTACTCCAAACATTGACGAAGAATCTAACCGTAGACCAAGAGGTAGACCTCCGAGAGTTGTCTGAGCGCACCGAGGGGTACACTCCCGCCGATCTCAAGTCCTTACTGGTCACGGCGCAACTGACAAGACTAGAGAAACAATTGGTGAATACAAAAAAAAACGCAATGTAATACAAACACTCGATGTGTCCCTCGAGTTTTGTTCGTTTTACATTGCGGGTTCACAAAATCCGTAATTTACCAATAATTTACTAAGTTTTGGTAAATTAACGTTGTTTTTTAAAATTAGCAACACAGTGGAGCGAAAGGCAAGTAAAACGTGAATATTTTTAATGCAACTTCAGCCGTAGTCACGGATTTAGCGTGCGTTGGAGAATTTGTCATTGCTGGAGGAAACTGATCCTTGGCTGGAGATCATGAGACGGCCAATGTGGGTAGACCTTAATAGTTCGTTTTGCAGGCTCACAACGACGACACGACATTGGGGTCCGTGGTGGTGCAGCAAGAAGACATCGATGGAGCTTTGGAGGAAACCAAACCTTCGTTGTCGAGAGAACAATTACTGTTCTACGATATGATGTGAGTTCAGTACATATCGACGCTTGAAAGGCAAATGTGACTAAGCGACAATGCGTGAACTTTACAGTAGACTAATTTAAAGTTTAAATACCTAAAATACTTTAAAAAAAAATATTTTAACGAATCTAGCTATAGGATTGAAATTATTTTAATAATCCTAGAAATACATTTTTTTTTGCGCATCGAACATGATTATTGCCTATCATTTATGTACAAAGCAATTAATGTCGCTTAGTCACGTTTGCCTTTCAAGCGTCGATATGTATTTTATATACATAATTATATTATATACATAATACTAATTTTATGAAACAGTCATCTCTGAACACGAGATATGTAAAGCAATCGAAACGATTGGAAACAATGAACTGACAATTTGGCTATAAAAGTAGTGGTAGTTGTAGTAAAAGTCGTAATAGTGTGACTACCAAGCTAAAAAAGTATGTGCCAACAAAAAAAAAAGTTTTGTAAGAGTTTATTGCAGGAAGGTCGATCAGGAATAATTGACATGCATCAAAATATAATTGTAATTTTCATTTATTATTTTAATGTAAACGTTTTTTTTTTCTAAGTTTTCATCGTGAACACATGCTGCGCGACGAAGACACTACATTTTGTAAAAACTAATTTCCAATTTGCCAAATTATTAATTATAGGAATATAATATGTATATATATAATATATATTTGAGCTTGTCCACCCATCCAAGCAATAAAAAAATAAATAAATAAAAAATATTTATTTATTTATTTATTTTATTTATTTTTATTCTTTATTTTTGTACACACTGTTAATATAATACAGTAATTGCGAAAAGATATAAAAAATGGTGAGCTTAATTCAACAATTGAGTTATCTACTTAATTTAATTTAATACTATCTGTTTTTTTGTAGTACGAGTATAAGCATTCACAGCTCCTTTCGTAGGGCAAAACGTCGAATAGTACAATCTATTGAAACTTCAAACTCGTGTCTCGAGATGGCAGGCGTCATTCACGTTATGATGCCCACGGATCTCGGTAGTTATTCAAACGTAAGATGATTCTCATTTTCTAGAATAGCTTCAAGATCAATGTGAATTATATTTCAGATACAAAAGGTTTAGAGGCGAGACTCTGACGTCCGAACAGAAGATAATGGCCGGCCGGTTTGAGAAGCAACGCGCCACTTTAGCTTAAAAGATAGAGAGAGAGAGAGAAGATAGAGATAATAGAGAGAGAATAATTGACACAGAATGCGTTACTCGGATTGTGCGATTATTTTTTAAATAATAATGTTATACGAGTGATTTTTACCATTTCTGCCGCTTTAGTTCCATATCTTTTGATTAGCTGTTAAATAATTGAGACATGACATAAAAAAGCCTATCACTGCGCCTACCACTTGTTCTTTAAAAGACGGAGGCGGCGACGGCAGATACATAAAAAAAAACTTGTTACACATTTCGACCACAAATGACGTCACGCGCACAAATGACGTCACAGGGAATGACATTGCGTTCAGCCCGGTCTTGTACTTTGCGCGGCTAGTGATAGATTAGACTTGTCCGTTTTCTTTTAGTAGAACCGTACTGTAATAATTTATCTGCTTAACATTAGGTTAAGATAAGTAATTATAAAATCAAAGAAGTTTTCCATTTGAGTAGGTCTACACATGCGCTAATTTAATTGTCATATTTTTACTATCGATTCAGAATGAAGCAGTTTCAACAAATAGAGGAATCAGCAAGAAACCTTAATTTTGCTCTTTGCCAAATATCAATTCAATTTAAAAAAAGTGTGTGTGTCCGCTCCGACGCACGACTGGAGTTTACTGGATATAAAAAATTAAACGAAACAATACGAGAAATAGTTCTATATTACGACAACACGATACACTACAGATTATTAACAAATTAACGAGACACAAAACAAACGACTAACAAATATATGAAAATACAATAATGAGAGAAACGCGCGATCAGTNTACACTAGCGACCCGCCCTCGCTTCGCTTCGGAAACATTAAAACACACATGAAACCAAAAAAAAAAAAAAAAAAAGTAGCCTATGTTCATCAGGGACAATGTCGGCTTCTAATGGAAAAAGAATTTTTCAAATCGGTCCAGTAGTTTCGGAGCCTATTCGAAACAAACAAACAAACAAATCTTTCCTCTTTATAATATTAGTATAGATTTTATTCAATATATTTTTCACAAAATAATAAAAACATATATTAATAAAATAAAAATTATAATTTTTTATTGCATTTTTTTTGTTTTTTAATTTTTTCATGAAAACTAACCTTGTCAATCTAATTTTTTTAAATCGTTTTCTATGAGAATATAGGATATTTTCATTAAGATAAATCTTACATCAAATTCATAAGATAGTTCAAAAGTTATCATGTCATGTGAGTACGCTTATATAATAGTCCATTTATCTAATATTTTGTCAGCAAACATTATGTTCATCACAGTTATTCTCTCAGAGATTCCTTTGATTTCTTCTATTTTGTCGGATAGCCTCATTTTTTATTAGGAACCCTACTCCATAAAGGCCTGATGTTTTATCTTTGTAGTGTAAGATATAGTGGTCCTCCTATCCTACAATTAAAGATAGAATTTACTAGAAACATTATTTATTAAAACCTCAATATATTTTAGGTAAAATCAAATAAATAAAAACTAAAATTAATTTATTATTAAGTGATACTTAAAAAAAACCTGACCGCATTAAAATGACCGACTAAAAAACAAATTCTATAATATTTCCTTAAATAAATTTGAAGGTTTTTTTCTCCACCAGTGGGGCAGACACGAAGTACTCCAAACATTGACGAAGAATCTAACCGTAGACCAAGAGGTAGACCTCCGAGAATTGTCTGAGCGCACCGAGGGGTACACTCCCGCCGATCTCAAGTCCTTACTGGTCACGGCGCAGCTGACAAGACTAGAGAAACAATTGGTGAGTACAATTCCGTTTTAACATTTACCGTGTCATGGGACTTGGGTGCCGGGTGCGTGGTCCCTGAACACAATATAGGAGATAGCATTTTATACTATAAAATAGTTTTTTTTTTAAAACGCAATGTAATACAAACACTCGATGTGTCCCTCGAGTTTTGTTCGCTTTACATTGCGGGTTCACAGAATCCGTAATTTACCAATAATTTACTAAATTTTGGTAAATTAACATTGTTTTTTTTTTTAATAAGCAATACTGGAGCGAAAGGCAAGTAAAACGTGAATACTTTTAATGCAACATCAGCAGTAGTCACGGATTTAGCGTGCGTTGGAGAATTTGTCATTGTTGGAGGAAATCGATCCTTGGCTGGAGACTACGAGATGGCGAATGTGGGTAGACCTTAATAGTTCGTTTTGCAGGCTCACAACGACGACACGACATTGGGGTCCGTGGTGGTGCAGCAAGAAGACATCGATGGAGCTTTGGATGAAACCAAACCTTCGCTGTCGAGAGAACAATTACTGTTCTACGATATGATGTGAGTTCAGTACATATCGACGCTTGAAAGGCAAACGTGACTAAGCGACAATGCGTGAACTTTACAGTAGACTAATTTAAAGTTTAATTACCTAAAATCGTTAAAAATATATATATTTTAACGAATCTAGCTATAGGATTGAAATTATTTTAATAGACCTAGAAATATTTTTTTTTTTTGCGCATCGAACATGGTTATTGCCTATCATTTATTCATTTATGTATAAAGCAATTATTGTCGCTTAGTCACGTTTGCCTTTCAAGCGTATATATGTATATAAAACTAATTTTATGAAACAGTCATCCTTGAACACGAGAAATGTAAAGCAATCGAAACGATTGGAAACAATAAAATGACAATTTGGCTATAAAAGTAGTGGTGGTAGTAGTAGTAAAAGTTATAGTAGTGCGACTCACCAAGCCAAAGAAAGTACGTGCCAACAAAAAAAAAAGTTTTGTAAGAGTTTATTGCAGGAAGGTCGATCAGGAATAATTGACATGCATCAAAATATAATTGAATATGCAATTTTGAAAAGGGCATATCTCATAAATATAAAATATCCAATAAAATATATATACTGACGCTTAAGATAATAATTCCAGTAATTTTCAATTGCTAATTAACACTAAAATATATCTCAAAAGTTAATATTAAAAAATTTACACTGCTTTAGAAAATAATCAGTTTTTTTCATTTCCTGAACATTTTATATTTTCAGAGATGTGCTCTTTTCGAAATTGCATATTCAATTGTAATTTTCATTTTTTTTTTTTAATGTAAACGTTTTTTTTTGTAAGTTTTTATCGTGAACACATGCTACGCGACGAAGACACTAAATTTTGTAAAAACTAATTTCCAATTTGCTCAATTATTAATTGTAGGCATATAATATGTATATGCATATATAATTGGAGCACGTCCACACAACCAAGCAATAATTTTTTTTTTTTTTTTTTAATACTATCTGGTTTTTTGTAGTATAAGCATTCACAGCTCCTTTCGTAGGGCAAAACATCGAATAGTACAATCTATTGAAACTTCAAATTCGTGTCTCGAGATGGCAGGCGTCATTCACGTTATGATGCCCACGGATCTCGGTAGTTATTCGAACGTAAGATGATTCTCATTTTCTAGAATAGCTTCAAGATCAATGTGAATTATATTTCAGATACAAAAGGTTCCGAGGCGAGACTCTGACGTCCGAACAGAAGATAATGGCCGGCCGGTTTGAGAAGCAACGCGCCACTTTGGCTTAAAAGATACATATAGAGAGAGAATAATTGACACAAAATGAGTTTCTCGAATTGTGCGATTATTTTTTAAATAATAATGTACGAGTCATTTTTACTTAGGGGAAAAAAAATAAAAATGCGATCTCCCTTCCTTCCCCTTTCTTCCCTCGTTAGTAGCAATATACGGTACGCGCGGGTAGGTACTACCACCCAACCTATTTCTGCCGTGAAGCAGTAATGCGTTTCGGTTTGAAGGGCGGGGCAGCCGTTGTAACTATACTTGAGACCTTAGAACTTATATCTCAAGGTGGGTGGCGCATTTACGTCGTAGATGTCTATGGGCTCCAGTAACCACTTAACACCAGGTGGGCTATGAGCTCGTCCACCCATCTAAGCAATAAAAAAAAAAAAACTTATCAACTCCTGTCCGCTCTCATTCCTGCCCGATCTCAGATTTTTGAACTCCCTAACTGCTTATCTTAAGTACTGGTATACTCGAAACACGCACGGCTCACTACCACGATCCTGACCATTTCTGCCGATTTAGTTCCAAATCTTTTGAATAGCTGGTAAACAATTGAGATATGAAAGCATATCACTGCGCCTTCCACTTCTTCTCTAAAAGACTGAAGCGGCGACGGTATATAAATAAACAAACCCGTTATACATTTCGACCACAAATGACGTCACACGTTGCGTTCAGCCGGCTCGTGTAGTTTACGCGGCCACTGATAGATTAGACTTGCCCCTTTCCTTGCAGTTAAATTGTACTATAATAATGTATCTGGTTAACATTAGGTTAAGATATGTAATTATAAAATCAAAGAAGTTTTCCATTTGAGTAGGTCTACACATGTGCTATTTTAATTGTCATAGTTTTACTATCGATTCAGAATGAAGCAGTTTCAACAAATAGAGGAATCAGCAAGAAACTTAAATTTTGCCCTTTGCCAAATATCAATTCAATTAAAAAAAAAAGGATGTTTTCAATTTGAAGAGCCAGATCTGCGTCATTGAGGACAGGCCGTAGTTCTGATCGTACTGTTGCTGTGTGAAGCAAACATCAACTCCACGCGCTTAAAGCTTAAAGCCGCTGCGCGCTTTCACAGTTGTGCTTAATAATTAGTTTGATCGCTTTAGTGTTTATTGAATTGCGCTCAATGTATTGTGACCCTTATTTGTATATAACGTATTATAACCCTTATATGTATATAACGAGAGTCGATATTGATTAAATAGGTGTATTGTGTTAAATGATGTTATCTTTTTAACATGTACTTAACTTTATTATTTGTTAATTCGGTTGTTATATTTTACGTTTTTATTAATAAATTATTATATTGTTCGTTTTACGGTTGTTTTACTGGATTTTCGAAGTTTTTAAGTAAAAAAGAATCTACTGGGAATAATCTTTTCGGGGTGCGAGGATGGCTCGTAATATACGAGCAGTCCTCTCAGGATTTGTTCATCCTCTTGGGATTGCTCGTATTTTGTGGGCTTTTCCACATTCACCAGTGCACATGGGCGAATGGGTAGTGTCAGGAGGTTTTTTTTTTAATGAAGATGGATGGGCGAGCGGAGATGTATGGAAATGGTAGTGCAAGGTAGAGGGGGAAGAGGTCGACCGAAGAAGACATGGATGGAGTGTGTGAATGACGATATGAGAGAGAGAGGAGTGAGTGTTGAGATGACGGCTGATAGAAGAGAATGGAAGAGAAAAATTAGCTGTGCCGACCCCACCTAGTGGGATAAGGTGGAGAAAAAGAAAGAGAGGATGGGCGAGCTCACAGCCCACCTGGTATTAAGTGGTTATTGGAGCCCATAGACATCTACGACGTAAATACGCCACCTACTTTGAGATATAAGTTCTAAGTTCTCAAGTATAGTTACAACGGCTGCCCTACTCTTCAAACCGAAACGCATTACTGCTTCACGGCAGAAATAAGCAGGGTGGTGGTACCTACCCGCGCGGACTCACAAGAGGTCCCTATTTATTATTTATTGGTGGCCTTTTTAAGCGCTTCCGAACTGTGACCTCACTTTACTCGACTTTTTTTTAACATACCTATGCTGTTAGGATTGAGAGGCTATATCAGAGTTACCCGAAGATGTTGCTAACACTGCCACAGCAGTGCTTCGCAGAATCTACCACCGGATCGGAAACGCGACCCACTGAGAGGATCCAGCGATAAACTCAGTGGGCTGTGTCTATGGGTTAATTTACTCGCCGAACGCTTTGTCGCAAGCGACGGGTTCGACAAGAACGATGACTGGAATTTATTCGAGGAGTACGGATGCTAGCCTTAGTGCTGATCGGTAGCGTTTGAAATAAAATTGTCCTCATCTAGAGAACGAGACGCCCGGTGGATACATATTGAGCGATACATTTATACCACTGTTCGAATCCTGGCAAAAGGTGCCATTTTTCTCATGTACTTAACAAATGCTCACAAATTACTTCCACGGTGACGGGATATCATCGTGTAATAAAAATCAAACCCGAAAAGTTATCTGCGCAATTATTGGTGGTAGGACGTTTAGTGAGCTCACACGATTAGGTACTAACCATCCTGCCTGTTTCTATCGTGAATCAGTAATGCATTTGGGTTTGAAGGGTGGGGCAGCTGTTGTACTATACAATTGAGAATTAGACCTCGCGTCTCAAGGTAAGTAACGGTATTTACGTTTTTGATGTGACCCAGCTTACTCATTTAGGCAGAAAAAAGAGAAATAGTAGCGTGGAGCAGCTATGAGGGCGCCGACCACGCAAAGGATGAAATTTTGGTGATTTACTCAAAACACAGTAGCTCGTGAGTACGTTCCACCAAATCAGCCATAAAAAATATGTAATATACATGTCGGAATGACCGCATTATTAAAACCATCGCCAGACATCACAGGAGAGAATAGCTAGGGTGATCGAATTAAGAGAAACTAGAGGTCCCGCAGCAGTCGAAATTCGACTATAATTAATTGGAATTGTAAGTTTGTACATTATTATGATTGTATTTTATACTTCTATAATCACAAATTTCGCCAAGGCTACACTATAAAAAATATTAATAAAGACAATCAATATTTAATCTATTCTCAATTTGACCACAGACGTCAAGAACAAAAGTTTGACAATAAATAGTTTACATGCGTGTGTGCGTCAAATACATGGTATAGTGTGTGGAATGTTTTCTTTATTGATTGAATGTATCTTTTATGCATTATTTAAAAAAAAAAATTAGCATTGTGCACTTGTTCTCTATATTCTCTATAAGTGTGGAAAATTTCATACTCCTCCGTCCGCGCAATTTTCGTAAAAAGGGATACAAAGTTTTTGCTTCACGTATTAATTAAGAGAAATAGTGAGTACCTACACAAAACACGTTTATTAGAACAATTTAGCAATCTCATTTTGAAGTTAGCAATCGAAAACGAATGTCAGTTCTTACTTAGGACAAAGGCACCGCTCTCCAAGGAGGCTGGTTTGTAAGTGAGTCGCGTCTATGCACGCCTCCATCGGCTAGGCTGTCTCGTAGCATGAAGTTAGCAGAGTTCCGACGACATTATGATCGTGTTGTCACCACTCAGGAATCGAGCTGCGCTACGTTTTACTACCAAACGAATGACCGTCTCCGATATACATATAAATAAAAATCGATATTGTTTTACAAGCAGTCTTTGAATAATTTATTGATCCAGAAGTTCTGATACCCTAGTAATTATTTGGAAACCTCAATTAAAATGTAACGAGTATAGACTCCCAATGTAGTCTATCAATAAAATAAAAAGTCGGATTTCTGCGGAACAGAATCCACCAGTCAGATTCAGCATCGTAATGGTTTTTATATTAAGTCATATTTAAAGGCTACATGAAACAAACAGCCTGCCTTAAACAAATGTTATATGAACCAAAAAGTTTTGACATGAAACTGCGCTTATGTAGATTTAGAACTAATCTGTGCTTGTACACATTATGTCTAATTAACTTCGCTGATGGCTAAAGTTTCAGAGCATCGCTGCGAAGTAATTAGCCAAGTCGAGTTCAGGAGATTGAGAACCGATACCATCTTGTTTATTACCCGCTTTGAAATTTCTTGGCTGGTGTTATCTGTCCATCTACAATACGTTAAAAATTAACAAAAGGCCTTATGTATTGATTAAGACACATAAAAACTACCTACCGGATAATTGTGGCATTGAATTTGTTGATTGTTTGATTTACGGTAAGCTTAGGAAATCGTCCTTCCAAATAAGTAGGTACATACATAATAATATATTGTACAGATCTAGAACCTATGGTTGTTGTTTGGTTGTCATTTACAAAATCCAAAATGGCGTCTTTGCTGTTTTAACGAAAATAATCACTAATAATTTTCAACAACTTCAAAGAGGCGAAAGTTTCACATTTCGGGAGATAAACGGTGTTTTATTGAAAAACTTGGCGGCGCGGCGGTGCAGTTCTGATTGAGATTAGTTCACAACTTGCACAATAATTTAGAGTTGATTCGCGCCCGCCTAGTGCGCCGCGAAATTTTGCGATGTCAAGAATTTAAAGTTATAACTAGAACAGTCATATGAAATTTTATTTCTTTTAAAATTAACTACTATGTTTGGAAATTATATTTTTTGTATCTTCGTATGACGTTATAAATCGATACACGAATGAAAAATTCAGTTATTTATTTAGTTTCTCAGCCTTGTTTAGGTTTTTTTTTATTGCCCTTGTAGGCAGACGAGCATACGGCCCATCTGATGGTGAGTGGTTACCGTCGCTTATGGACTTCAGCAATGCCAGGGGCAGAGCCAAGCCGCTGCCTACCGCTTAATACTCTCCATAAGCCTCGTTTGAAGAAGGACATGTCTTATGCCCCTTCATTAAAACTTCTGATTAACACTAGAAAGAATTTAAATAATTGTACATACATTTAAGAATCCTCAAAATAAGTCACATCCAGCCTGACTCTAAATCCGAGCGCCACGTCTTGTAAAGTTTATTAGTTAATAGCATAACACGCTCCGTAACAAGTTATTTAATGAATAAAGTATAATTTACTGTTCGTCGCGTATTTCATTAGATAAGAGCTTCTCGAGCATTTAATTATTATATTGCGTTAATGGTATATTAAATAAATTCTATTATATCTAATA